GCACAGGAAGGCTTGTTGCGAGGGGAAATTTTTTCATACCGCGTGTTCGGACCGGTGTTCAGGCCGTTTGAAAACGCGTACAATAATATTTTCATCCGCGTCTTCGCACTGCCAGCGTGGCCTGCTTTACGAGGAAAAACTTCAGCGCACCGCCGCGCTACACGCATCGAATCTCTCTAAACACTAACTAATTTAGATATTTTAGATGATGCTCGGCAGTTGATAATTGAAATTATTCTCACTAATTAAAAAGATAATTAACACTTTTTAGTTCCTTATTTGACTCATCGTGACGAATTCTCTCTTAGATCCTCCTGGCCGTATAACTCAACTGATCAGATTGCATTATTTTACTTTCTACTGCCTCCTTTGAATAAATGCGTTCGAATAAAAAAAGTGAAAGCTGCTTACAACTCCCTGTAACGCCGAATTAGAGCGCAGCTCTTGAGGAGGAGGAGGGAAGGGCACGGGGGGGGGGGGGGTTAAACTAACCAGGGGGGGGTAACGTGACCTTGGGGGTCGCGTGACCCCCAATGCCGATGATGTCATCACTGACGTCACTGATGACGTCATCAGACGATGACGATGCGGGTACCGATGACGTCATTAGTGACGTCACTGATGACTTCACCAGTGATGATGACGATGACGATGCGAATGTCGGGGACGTCATCAGTGACGTCGCTGATGACGTCATCAGTGATGATGACAATGACGATGCGGATGTCGGTAACGTCATCAGTGATGATGACGATTACGATGCGGATGCCGGTGACGTCATCAGTAATGATGAGGATGACGATGCGGATGCCGGTGACGTCATCAGTGACGATGACGATGACGATGTGGATGCCGGTGACGACATCAGTGACGTCACTGATGACGTCATCAGTGATGATGACGATGACGATGCGGATGTCGGTAACGGTATCAGTGATGATGACGATGCGGATGCCGGTGACGTCATCAGTGATGATGACGATGACGATGTGGATGCCGGTGACGTCATCAGTGATGATGACGATGACGATGTGGATGCCGGTGACGTCATCAGTGACGATGACGTCATTGGGGGTCACGCGACATCGGCGGGGGTCACGTGACCTCAGGGGAGTCACGTGACTTCGGGGGGTCACGTGACCTCAGGGGGGTCACGTGCCCCCCACGAGGTCACGTGACCCCGGTGGGGGGCTCGCGCGGTGCATTATGGGACATTTCCTATGATGCACCGCGCGATTACGCCGACGCCGACGCCGACGCCGACGCCGACGGCGACGCCGACGCCGCTCAAGCCGGAAACGGGCCCCTAAGATCTGCGCTCTAAAAAAATCAAACACCCTGTCTACAGTTGGGTCGGTGCGGCGGCAGTCGCTGCGTAGCAGAGCTATTCTGGAACTTTTGCGCCCACGACAAAACGTGCCGGCGAGACCGGTGCACCGTCGTACCACGTGCCCGCTCGCGTCATTGACGTCACGCATCTCGCAAGAGCCATAAATGGTAGATCGTAGAGCCGCTAAAGTATGGGCACTCTGTTCCCCGATATTGTTGTGGGCGCCGCCATCTTGGTGCTTAGTACAGAGCAGACGCGACTGTCGAACGTCATGATTCGAAAGTGGGACTTTCTACTGTAATATTGCTTTGGTCTATCGCGAACTGTTTAAACATTTGTAGAGGACGGCAAAGCGTTTCTTATGATTCGGGATAAAGCTTTAGATACCTGGCAACCATGATTTTAAGCACCAAGATGGGTAAATGTCGTTACTCTGAAGCATAGCTTATTTAGTGGCACTGTTAGCGTCTCTGCGGCGCCCTCATTCCCACTGTCTCGTTCTGACTTCAGTTCTGGCTGACATCTGTGGTGCAGAAAATACAAAATAAAAAAAATAAAAAAACTTGTGGCTTTTGTTGGACACAATCTGTGCTCCTTCGTTTTTGTAAGAATAGTCAAGCTTTCCTAATTTTGTCCGAAGCACGTGAAATCCTTCGAAACAAGATGACAGAAGACATCGCGCATGCGCAGAACTCTTGCGTAAAAGGTCTTGTTATCATTGGCGCCTCATGCTTCCTCTCGCGCACGCGTCATCAGTGGTGCAGGCAAAGGCACGGCTGCTGTAGTGTCCTTCACGGGCTACATTTAAAACTCTTTGATGCTCAAAACTTTACTTGATATACCGAAGATCTACAAAACCCTGACGTGACTTAACAAAAAAAAAAAAAATTAAATGCACTTTGTCTCTAAAAAAAAAAAATACTTATTAAAACGTGTAGTCGGAAATGTTGTCTTTGAGCGACATTGAGCATTTGCAGCACTGCTTCGCGTCGAACGACTGAAGCACTTACGGTCTGGGAAAAGGCACAGGTGTATTTCAAATTCCGCCGAACTTGCGACATTTGTGCCTGCTTATCTTCTCACCGTTTTGAGGCCTGTGGTGCACGCCATTATAACTCGCTTCCACTGTCGGTTTTGGTTTTAAGGGACGTTTGCTTCAAAGATGCATTTCGATCCTCCACTGGTCACCGCTGATATATTCGCCCTTGCGGCAGAGGGCGCCATATTTATTCAGGTTCACCTCTCTCGGGAGAAAATATTTCATTCTTCAGTTCTTGCTCCTGGGCAACGCTGTGCATCAAGGGGTAAAAAGTTAATAGTCTACCCTGTGCAGACCCTACAATGATGCGAACTATACTCCGTTTCACGTTATGTTGTGCCGTAGTGAAGGCTAGAAGTGTGAGCTCATAGCATTGGCAGCTGCAATTAATGCACGAGAGCTTGTGCCGCCGAGATGTGCTCGAGAGCAAGGATCTCTCGCATGTAGCCTTTCCTTCGGTGCATCATAAGGTGAAGTAGAGTATATACAAGGATTTGTTTATTAAGAATCGTTCCGCGGTTGTCGCCCGGAGAAGTTACTCTACGCTGTTTCACGCCGCGGGCAGTCGTCAGCAAGAAAAGGAGAAACTGTCGGTATGTTGCCTTCGCGTTGAATGTCCCTGCTGGTGACAGTCTAGGTTCCTGGACTCTAGCTTGGGGATAAGTGATGGTCGTGGCGGACCAAACACCCAATGCTTGCGGTCGGTAAAGCGAAACAAGGGGTGAATAAGTGACTAAGGAGACCTTCTTGAATTATGGTCGCGATGCCTTCGAAACAAGGAGCAGTTCCTATTGGTTAAAACGATACGACTTACAGAAATAATAAGGACTACGAAGAGTTACGATGATACACATTTTTGAAAAACCGGAGATGGCGGACAAAAAAGGGGAGAAACAACTTATGAATTTGTCTTGATCGTTCTGTGTTCCCTTTTTTATGCGTCGGCTCGGTTTTTTAAAAATGTGTAATATAAACCAGATCGTCTGTCTACTCACTATGCCAAAATTGTTCGAATTTACAGTCGTATTAGTTTATTAGCCAGCATAGAGTACTATTAGTCTTGAAACTAATGACGTCATGTTAACTTGGGATAAGACCTATTTAAGAAAGAAACACTTTAATTTGAGCTAATATATGCCCCACGCAGAATGCACACCGGATGGCGATTCCGCAAAATGCAGTTGTTATTGAGTATATAACTCTTTTGTGCATTCAACTTTACCGTCAACATTAGGCGCAATGAAGTTACAATCTGAGTTGAGCTAACGGTTTACTGTACACATTTCTGAAACTAAACAAGACAAAGGCGCATAGGGGTCTAGAGGTCGTCGTGTAACAGATATTCAGAAATCCAAATTTCACAAGAGTTGCAGTCTGAACGCGCGCTTCTTCCCCCGTGGCACCTAGCTTCTGTACGGTATGGAATTGCGCGAGCGAGAACTATGCATTGAGTGCTTCAAAATTAGCGAGTGCTCGAACTGATGAAAACAAACAACTGCACGATCCACAGCACTACTTTCAAGGTCCTATTCGCCCTACCCCCAGTCGTTCAAGCAGACGACACATGGTCCAATGAACGTAATGTACATTTCGCGATACGAGTATTGATTACACAGCCCCTTGCTTTGATAAGACATGACACTTTTGGGCCGTATCTTGCCATTGACGGGACGTAATAGCGTGTGTAATACGCTGCAAAATTTAAACGAAGGAAAGAAGATCTCTGTGCGTTCGAACGCGTGTTTTTTTTTAAAGATATCACTGCCTCGTGTCAATTTCATTCGTGGTGCATGTGTAATTTACTATAACGCAACTGCGAACGCATGCTATGACCGCCACGCCAGCAGAAATAACCCGCGATCGATCAGCGATCCTTGCACCCCCCAACGATAACAGTGCATGAGAACGCAACTACTTGCTAATTAGATTGACTTTGCTCCCATTTGTGTGTGCACATACATGTTCGTTTCCTTATTTGTTCCTCTCTTTGTGCTGACCTTTTCAACGCCAGTCCCATCCGAATCTCAGAATCGGACACTGCGCGGCGGCAGCTAGATTCGTTGATGTTCTGATTACAACATATTGTCGTCAGGTTATGTTTTTTCTGTTTGTTTTCTTTCTTATGTTTCTTCACTTTTGTCCCTCTTTCTCTTTTTCTTCTCTTTCCTATCGTCTCTTCCTTCTTTTTTTTTCTTTCCGCACTCTTGCCTTTTCTTTCTCCCCTTCCGTATTCTCTCCTCATCTCTTCCCCTGTCTTTTACTCACTCTCTTCTTCTGCCGTTTTGTCTCTTTCCCTTTCGCACACCTTCCTTTCGGCCGCCTCCTGACTCTGTCCCTTTAATTCCTTCCCCTTCTTTCTTCACTCTCTCCTCTCCTTATCTCTGCCCTCTCTCTCCTATTCTTTTTCATTTGTTTTCTTACCTCGCCTCCTTCATTTTTTTCCCCACTCTTTCTCGTATTTCATTTTCGGCCTTTTTCTTTCCTCAACTCCTCTCTCTCTCTCTTCCCCACTTCCCTTTTCTCCCTCCTTCTCCACCGTCTCGCCCCCTCCTCCCGTTTCCCGGAACTGCGCCGTGCTGCAGACTCTCGACCACCTCGGGGACCTGCGCGCCTCGCCGATCCACGTATCAGGGTCCGGCACGACGGGAGCGGGCTGTCTGAGATCTGCGGGAAGCGAAACGAACAACGCCCACCGCAGCGGCGTCCGTGTGACGGTCAGTGCAACGCCTACGTTATCCATTATTCACTCGTCGGGGGCTGTTGCAGCTGCTCTTTCCCAGAGAACATGCTCGGCCTTGAATCACCGCGACAAAAACGGAATAGAACACCAACCAATGCACCTGTCGTGGCACGGTGATGCGCCCGAGCCTGCATACTTGTTCGACCAGGGGAAACATCCAGCAAACGATATTAACTCCAACCAGTCTGGATCGTCTACTCACCCGGAAAGCACTTGGGAGAGCAACTGGCTGCAATCAACGGAGGTAGGCCGGCGAATAACGAAATAAAAAATATGTGTACACGTAAAAAGAAAAAAAAAAAAGGGGTCTGCGACAAAGGGCAAGAAGAGACGGGTCTGAACAAGGCTAGACTGGGGGTCAGAATAAGGGTTCGCGCATTTCCCGGCAGGGCGCTGTCGGGTTGGAGCTCGGCGGTCAGCCGCGGTCGCGTGCCTCTACGCCTCGAAGACGTGTGCATCAATTATAGTATTGGTGTTTATTTTCCGTCAAAAAGTATAACGAACGATGCCGAAAAAAAGAATGCTGCGAAATGCAGCTTGACAAATTCTCGCCCACCCCCTTCCCCGTCTCTCCACGTGCAGCAATAACAAAATGACAAAAAAAAAAAACATCAACATCAGTATTAGGTGAACAATGCAACTGCACACTGAGACTATATAGAAAGTTATAAACATTGGACACCAAACGTTCTCAAACAGCAATTCAGTTTCGCAACACATGACAGTTATTCAATAAGATGGTACACATATTTAAGAGTTAGAGTAACAGTGGTCATGAGTCGTGTTTAAAGAACCATATCTGTAAAAAATGTTCAAAGATATTTTGCTGAGGACTTTGTAGGGTTCCCGTCCAATAGTCCCCTTTCTCTTGATGAATGTGACACATCAACGCATAGGTCTCGACAGAAAGGGTTTATTCCACTCCCATTCTGCTGGGGCGTTTTGGGATCGGGAAAGATCATCGACGAAGCCTGGGAGGAGTGCGCCGCCACCGCTGTATGTCGATCGTTCCGGCGGTGCTGGTCCACACCGCATATTGGGGACGTCGCTGTCGAGGGTCGGATCCGAGGTCTAAATCGGGACCATGTCACCGGGACGTAACATGAGTCGGAGTCGCGGTCGCTAGACACCGCGAACGTCCCTTGTGCCCCAATTCCCACGCAAAAGTCCCACTTCCAATCTCCATCGCTCAACCTCCCAATCTCTTCGCTTCGCTGGGAAGCTCGACCAGGCAGCGTACAGTTCAGAAGATGGCCCAGAGCTCCACCGCTCACAACGCGCACGGGCACTTAGGCGTACAAAATACACCCAAACTGAAAGTCCTTTCCACCCCAATGTTCCAGACAGGCAATCAAACGGAAGCAAATCGCGGCACCGAATATTAAACAGCATGACGAAACCAAATCTTCAGCTCAGTGGATATACCGCAAGCTACAAACAAAGCTCTTTATTTTAAAACGATTAGGCACACGCTCATCAAGGTCGTCGCGCTACGTATTCAAAATATATACCCAGAAATAAAACTAATCAACTCAGGAGGCATGCAACAACACTAACCTGTTGTCGAATTGCACAAAGCCTTCACATAGTCATTGGTTTTATACAATAAAACTCAATCGCACTCTTCCAAAATGAAACATAATCTACCTTAGCGCTAGAAAAGGGCTGCTGCGACAATAGAATTCGCTTCCCCCGCAACTATAAATCACTTCTGACCATATACACGGAAAATTTTCAATTTCCGGGGGGGGGGGGGGGGGGGGGGGTCCATCCTTTCCGGGAGAAGTTTGGGACGTCTCTTGAAAAAAAACGTCCTAAACGTTTATAATCGTCTGGATAACGTAGGATAAGCATGCTGACGGCATGATACCTAAACAAATGTCTGCTTTTGTGACCGTATAATTTAGTTGTCATTGCAGTTCTGATCAGTGAATTTCGTGTTTCAAGCGCACTGACCGTAATGAAATGTTTCAACGTTTGGGAAAACAAAATGGGGCTTACAAAACGTATTATGTCGTAGATTTCCGTAGGCTGCGGGTCCGCTAGAGGTGACACTGTCGTCATTCGCCACTATTTCCAATGGCTTCCGAAAGAATTTCCCGCTTCTGGAAATTCCTTCGAAAGCCATTGGAAGTAGTGGCGACACTCAAACTGGTGAGTTGTGCATAACTCACCAGAGCTGGTGAGTGGATACATTTTTATTTATCCACTGGGCGCAAGCTATCGACATGTGCGGGCACCAGGGCGCACAGATGAGATTCATGATGTGCACTCAGAGGTTCCGGAGGCGATAGTACTTGCTTTTCCGAAGAACCCGGGAGAGGAGGAGGGAGGCCCCTTCCCCCCTTCCCCTTCCCGTAGTCGGCGCCTGTGTCTGACCAAGTCGCAAAACATGAAAACAAAAGACAATTGTGTGCACGTCATGAGCAGCAGAAAATCCTGCACCGTTCACGAGGTGCGATACACAATAGCCATACGAACAAAACCTGCCGCTAACAGTACCCATCATTAATCGCACATTTACGCACTGTTCGCGAAACTCACGCTACGAGCAAGCTACGACTAATCTACGCAGCATGCCTTCATCGGGATGGATAGCAACCACCCCGAGATACCTTTGTCCCGTGGTGCCGGCAATTATTCCAACACAAGAGGACAGCGTTCTCGTATGCCGGATGATGCGCCCAGCATGGCTAACGGATGTCCTTATTTGCAAAGCTCTGTCCGCAACGTCTAGATGTGGATCAGAGGTTACCGCGTCACTGTTCGGGGATGATCTCCAAACAAGAGCAACGAGCGTGCAACGGGGGTACACACCGAAGTGTAGTGCAGAAACCACCGTGAGTCCTGGTCCTGCGAAAGCTCGGAAGTCGCGATCAGAGCATCGATGGACATCCAAGTTTTTCCCCAACCTAGTCACAACACCGCATGATCAAAAGTCTTCTTGAGGACTGTCAAGGCCGACCAAGTTCGAGTAATGGAGGTACCTCATCTAAGTGTCTCGCAACCCTTCCAGTTCTCAATCCAAGCAACATGTTCTTGGATGAACGCGGCAGGGTACACACAAAGCCTCCCCAGACCAAGTCAACGCGCCGCATGACTCAAAAGTCATGCGGAAATGTCCTGGGTCGGTCAATGCGAGCACGCCACAAGCGCGCCCTTCATCTTCCGCGCAATGCGAGTGACACCGAAGTGTCCTATAATCTAACCGGCCGTGGTCTTGGAAATGTACCAGTTAATAACCTGCAATTGCTCGGCATAAACAGTTTCCGCAGCTCTGCATAAACAGTTTGTCAGATTCCTATGCTGCCCTGACACCCGCCGATGTGAACCGTACGTTTACGCGGAACTCCCGCGCAACTGTACAGGATAAAACTATGAACAACTCGTAACATTATCTCAAGACCACCACCACCCTCGTGGAGCTTTTCGCTACATGAGAACGGCTCCTTCCTCAGCTTGACCCCTCCGCGCGCCCGCGCGCCCGAACCGGACACAAAAACGCGAAAAACCGGTATACCATGCCCAGCGGCGACGCAGGGCACCTACTTTACCGCCCTTCTCCGGGCATTGGGAAAACAACTCCAGAGTAATCTCCACCAGAAGCGCAAACTCCGATATGGCGGTGGGAGGATACGGCAAAAGCTGCACGCAGTTCAGCGGGATCAACCTCACGACTCTACAGCTAGGCACAAGCGGAACATGACAATCGTGTCAACCTGGACTCCACGGGGCATTACACAAAGCCACTGAAAAGGTGGGCACAGAGACTCGATGACTGCGAAATTCCAATGCATTTACACCAGGCATCACGTAATTGCCAATACCTGAATACCTGGGGGGGGGGGGGGGGGGGGGGGATCAGTCCCAAGGTGTCGCCTCTGGCCGCATGGTACTGCATCAGAGCGGTCGGAACTACAAGAGCGCATATTGTCACGAATGACAAGTTAAACAAATAAAATAACTCAAAGAACTGGAATGTTTAATGGGGCGAACTTTTGCCCAAAAATAAAAAGGAAACAAAAGAAAACAGCAGAGCGTCGTGGGCGTCGAATTCGGCGGAACAGCAGGGTCGAACGCTGGGGCGAAACTGACACTGGCTGCCACGCGGAGCCCCTTTGGTATACACGCGTGGGCATCTGGAAAAATCGGTGTAGAAGGTTCGGCATGTATGGGGCGAACTTTTGCCCAAAAATAAAAAGGAAACAAAAGAAAACAGCAGAGCGTCGTGGGCGTCGAATTCGGCGGAACAGCAGGGTCGAACGCTGGGGCGAAACTGACACTGGCTGCCACGCGGAACCCCTTTGGTATACACGCGTGGGCATCTGGAAAAATCGGTGTAGAAGGTTCGGCATGTACAAAATACTCACCTCGAATCAGCCAACACTGGTCTCGAATTTACCAGAGCCAACACTGTTCTCGAATTTACCAGCCGGGGTTCGATTCCTGGCAGCGTACCCGCTGCCAGGAATCGAACCCCGGCTTTCTGCGTGGAATGCACGCGCGATAGCCGTTAGACCACGAGCGCGCTGCCTACTTAGTCAGCTGCGCTCGCGGCATTATTCTCCTCTTTAAAAAAGTGCATCGTCCCGATGCAGCACAAAACGAAAACACAAATACACAACAAAAGGATAGCAGAATCGCAAGCCACAGTTCATAGTTCACAGTTCACTCTTTGACGAGAGTCCAAAGTTCTATCGTTTATACGGCTTGAGCCGGACGACGTGCACCACCTCGGGTTGTGGCTGGCGTCTTGCAGATGGGCGCGTTCCGTCGGGTGCAACTTCTCAGTTCAGATCGCCGAGGGGTCGGTTGATTTTGTAGGGTCCGAAATAGCGTTTGAGAAGCTTCTCGCTGAGACCGCGGCGCCGTATGGGTGTCCACACCCATACCAGGTCTTCGGGTTAAAAGTGGAAGTCCCGGCGACGAAGGTTATAGCGGCGTGCGTCGACTCGCTGTTGGTCATGAATCTTG